CAGTTTTTAAACTGCAACATTAACACCCCTCCTTCAGAGTGCAGGCACTGTACTTCCCATCTCCAGGACTCAAGTCCGGCCTGCCGGTTTCCCTGAACCCCTTCATAAATGTTACTTTGCTCACACTCCAACAGCACGTCAAGTATTAAAAACCATTTGTCTCCATTCACTCCTATCAAACACGCTCACGCATGCCTGCTGGAAGTCCAAGCCCCTCGCACACAAAACCTCCTTTACCCCCTCCCTCCAACCTTTCCTAGGCCGACCCCTACCCCGCCTTCCTTCCACTACAGACTGATACACTCTTGAAGTTATTCTGTTTCGCTCCATTCTCTCCACATGTCCGAACCACCTCTACAACCCTTCCTCAGCCTCTGGACAACAGTTTTGGTAATCCCGCACCTCCTCCTAACTTCCAAAACTACGAATTCTCTGCATTATATTCACACCACACATTGCTCTCAGACATGACATCTCCACTGCCTCCAGCCTTCTCCTGGCTGCAACATTCATCACCCATGCTTCCCCACCCATATAAGAGCGTTGGTAAAACTATACTCTCTTACATTCCCTTCTTTTCCTCCAAGGACAAAGTTCTTTGTCTCCACAGACTCCTAAGTGCACCACTCACCCTTTTCCCCTCATCAATTCTATGATTCACCTCATCTTTCATAGAACCCCATCCGCTGACACGTCCACTCCCAAATATCTGAATACATTCACCTCCTCCATACTCTCTCCCTCCAATCTGATATCCAATCTTTCATCACCTAATCTTTTTGTTATCCTCATAAAACCTTACTCTTTCCTGTATTCACTTTCAATTTTCTTCTTTTGCACACCCTACCAAATTTCACCCACCAATCTCGGGCAACTTCTCTTCAGAATCTCCCAAGAGCACAGTGTCATCAGCAAAGAGCAACTGTGACAACTCCCACTTTATGTGTGATTCTTTATCTTTTAACTCCACGCCTCTTGCCAAGACCCTCGCATTTACTTCTCTTACAACCCCCATTATAAATATATTAAAACAACCATGGTGACATCACACATCCTTGTCTAAGGCCTACTTTTACTGGGAAATAATTTCCCTCTTTCCTACATACTCTAACTTGAGCCTCACTATCCTCGTTTAAAAACTCTTCACTGCTTTCAGTAACTACCTCCTACACCATACACCTGCAACATCTGCCACATTGCCCCCCTATCCACCCTGTCATACGCCTTTTCCAAATCCATAAATGCCACAAAGACCTCTTTAGCCTTATCTAAATACTGGGTTTACTGATATGTTTCACTGTAAACACCTGGTCCACACACCCCCCACCTTTCTTAAAGCCTCCTTGTTCATCTGCTATCCTATTCTCCGTCTTACTCTTAATTCTTTCAATAATAACTCTACCATACACTTTGCCAGGTATACTCAACAGACTTATCCCCCTATAATTTTTGCACTCTCTTTTATCCCTTTGCCTTTATACAAAGGAACTATGCATGCTCTCTGCCAATCCCTAGGTACCTTACCCTCTTCCATACATTTATTAAATAATTGCACCAACCACTCCAAAACTATATCCCCACCTGCTTTTAACATTTCTATCTTTATCCCATCAATCCTGGCTGCCTTACCCCCTTTCATTTTACCTACTGCCTCACAAACTTCCCCCACACTCACAACTGGCTCTTCCTCACTCCTACAAGATGTTGTTCCTCCTTGCCCTATCTTCATCAACATTTAACAATTCCTCAAAATATTCCCTCCATCTTCCCAATACCTCTAACTCTCCATTTAATAACTCTCCTCTCCTATTTTTAACTGACAAATCCATTTGTTCTCTAGGCTTCCTTAACTTGTTAATCTCACTCCAAAACTTTTTCTTATTTTCAACAAAATTTGTTGATAACATCTCACCCACTCTCTCATTTGCTCTCTTTTTACATTGCTTCACCTCTCTCTTTTTCTCCATATACTCTTCCCTCCTTGCATCACTTCTACTTTGTAAAAAACTTCTCATTTTGCTAACTTTTTCTCCCTTACTACTCTCTTCACATCATCATTCCAACAATCGCTCCTCTTTCCTCCCGCACCCACTTTCCTGTAACCACAAACTTCTGCTGAACACTCTAACACTACATTTTTAAACCTACCCCATACCTCTTCGACCCATTGCCTATGCTCTCATTAGCCCATCTATCCTCCAATAGCTGTTTATATCTTACCCTAACTGCCTCCTCTTTTAGTTTTTTAAACCTTCACCTTCTCTTCCCTGATTGCTTCTATTCTCCTTGTATCCCATCTACCTTTTACTCTCAGTGTAGCTACAACTAGAAAGTGATCTGATATATCTGTGGCCCCTCTATAAACATGTACATCCTGAAGTCTACTCAACAGTCTTTTATCTACCAATAACATAATCAACAAACTACTGTCATTTCGCCCTACATCATATCTTGTATACTTATTTATCCTCTTTTTCTTAAAATATGTATTACCTATAACTAAACCCCTTTCTATACAAAGTTCAATCAAAGGGCTCCCATTATCATTTACACCTGGCACCCCAAACTTACCTACCACACCCTCTCTAAAAGTTTCTCCTACTTTAGCATTCAGGTCCCCTACCACAATTACTCTCTCACTTGGTTCAAAGGCTCCTATACATTCACTTAACATCTCCCAAAATATCTCTCTCTCTCCTCTGCATTCCTCTCTTCTCCAGGTGCATACACGCTTATTATGACCCACTTCTCGCATCCAACCTTTACTTTAATCCACATAATTCTTGAATTTACACATTCATATTCTCTTTTCTCCTTCCATAACTGATCATTCAACATTACTGCTACCCCTTCCTTTGCTCTAACTCTCTCAGATACTCCAGATTTAATCTCATTTATTCCCCCCACCGAAACTCCCCTACCCCCTTCAGCTTTGTTTCGCTTAAGGCCAGGACATCCAACTTTTCATTCATAACATCAGCAGTCATCTGTTTCTTGTCATCCGCACTACATCCACGCACATTTAAGCATCCCAGTTTTATAAAGTTTTTCTTCTTCTCTTTTTTAGTAAAAGTCTACAGGAGAAGGGGTTACTAGCCCATTGCTCCCGGCATTTTAGTCGCCTCATACGACACACATGGCTTACGGAGGAAAGATTCTTTTCCACTTCCCCATGGACAATAGAAGAAATAAAGAGGAACAAGAGCTATTTAGAAAAAGGAGAAAAACCTAGATGTATGTATATATATATGCATGTGCGTGTCTGTGAAGTGTGACCAAAGTGTAAGTAGGAGTAGCAAGATATCCCTGTTATCTAGCGTGTTTATGAGACAGAAAAAGAAACCAGCAATCCTACCATCGTGCCAAACAGTTACAGGTTTCTGTTTCACAGTCATCTGGCAGGAAGGTAGTACTTCCCTGGGTGGTTGCTGTCTACCAACCTACTACCTTTTACATTTAGTAATATATACAGGAGAAGGGGTTACTGGCCCTTTGCTCCTGGCATTTTAGTCGCCTCTTGCAACACGCATGGCTTATGGAGGAAGAATTCTGTTCCACTGCCCCATGGAGATAAGAGGAAATAAACAAGAATAAGAACTAGAAAGAAAACAGAAGAAAACCCTGAGGGGTATGTATATACTATATGCTTGTACATGTATGTGTAGTGTGACCTAAGTGTAAGTAGAAGTAGCAAGACGTACCTGTAATCTTGCATAATTACGAGACAGACAGAAGACACCAGGAATTCTACCATCATGTAAAACAATTACAGGCTTTCGTATGCAATCACTTGGCAGGACGGTAGTACCTCCCTGGTCGGTTGCTGTCTACCAACATACTACCTTGGTTATTATTATCATTATTATTATTATTATTATTATTATTATTATTATTATTATTATTATTATTATTATTATTATTATTATTATTGTTATTATTATTCTTTTCTTTCAACACACCAGCTGTATCCCACCAAGGCGGGGTGGCCCAGGAGGAAAAACGAAAGTTTCTCCTTTTACATTTAGTAATGTATACAGGAGAAGAGGTTACTAGCCCCTTTCTCCTGGCATTTTAGTCGCCTCTTATGACACGCATGGCCTACGGAGGAAGAACTCTGTTCCACTACCCCATGGAGATAAGAGGAAATAAACAAGAACAAGAACTAGAAAGAAAATAGAAGGAAACCCAAAGGGGTATGTATATATATGCTTGTACATGTATGTGTAGTGTGACCTAAGTGCAAGTAGAAGTAGCAAGATGTACCTGAAATCTTGCATGTTCATGAGACAGAAAAAAGGACACCAGCAATCCTACCATCATGTAAAACAATTACAGGCTTTCGTATACACTCACTTGGCAGGATGGTAGTACCTCCCTGGGTGGTTGCTGTCTACCAACCTACTACCTAGGATTATTATTATTATTATTATTATTATTATTATTATTATTATTATTATTGTATTATTATAATGAATGCTGCCAGCTCAGTGCACCGTTTACCTCACTGTTGGAGCAGTTCTCTCATGCTTTACTTACATTTTTGAGTCATTTGGCCAAATTTCATTTTTCTAAGCAAGGGTACTAAGGAAGTAAGTGTAAAAGACAGTGCTGTGAAGAAAAAGAGAATGATTTCCATGGATTTAAAGCATGAAATCATAGATAAACAAGCGAGGTGTCCAGGTTTTGGGTTAAGGGGGAAGCAGGGGGAGGTGGCTTGTAACTCGGATGTTGGCTTGTAACTCAGGGCAAAAAATCAATTGAGGAACAGCTCTTATCTCAAAAAATTCATACATTGGGATACTCGTAAGTCAAGGTTCCATTGTACCTAGCAGATTGTGACAATGGATAACTCCAGAAATAATGGACATAGCTCATTGTTTCCAAAGTCAATTTACCTAGTAAATTTTTACCATTTTGTTCAAAAATATGGTAAATTATGGTCCATTAAATTAAGGTCTTACTAATTTGCTATTTATTTAAATGGCGTGTGTTCATTTCAGTGAGCTGTTTTATGTGCGAAATCATCTTCCTGTGCCAGATGTGGATGTTGCAACTTATGAACTGGAAATCTGCAGTGAAGGAGCTAAGGAAGAGAAGAGCTTCACACTTGACGATATTAAGAGATATCCCAAACATACTATTACTGCTAGTCTTCAGTGTGGTGGTAACCGCAGATCAGAGATGGCTAAGGTTTGTACTAATTCTATTTCAGTAGTAGTTCCCCGAGTATATATTTTCTCCTGTGTGTTGTTAAATGGTAAATTGTATGCATTCACAATTATGGCATACATTTTATCTTTGTTCTGGATTTCTACTGCTAGAATTTCTACATTTTTTTGTATTACAGATTTTAATTTCTGTGGCTTAAAATTATTTTGTTAATTGTTTTGTTGTTGGTTGGTAAGATTTGTCAGGAAACAAGACAAGTGTTTTCTTACACAGGTCTTAGTCATATGATGACCCACTGCTGGAGCTTTTGGTCATCTGACCAAGGCCTTCTGCCAGCTTGCCAGGCCACCCCTTCAAAAATTATGGTCATAGTTATAACCATTATATTAGTAACATTGCTGCTTCTTTTTTTTTTTTTTCTATTGTGTCATTTCTCCAAAGTGAGTAGTTTCCCTTAAATTTACTTTGTTTAGAATATGCTTTTCAATTTGAATTAAGCCATACTTACTCTCAGATTTATTTCTGTATAATGTCCATTTGCTAGTCTTTTCACTTTACTTCTCAGTGTATACAGAAGAGTCCCACTTATACAGCAGGTTAGGTTCTGGGCTACTGCTCTAAAGCAAAAATTGCTGTAAAGTGGATCATAGCCCTTTCTCACTTTTAAATGCACATAAAAGCCTGATAACATGTTTACACTATTATATAATAGCCCCTTAACTGTCCAAACATAGATCTACGTTGTTACTGCTAGTGCTCCAAACATAGATCAACGTTTTATTTTTCCTGAATCCAAATTTGGCACAATTGCCCTGAGATGTTTGGTCAGTATAGAATGGGTCTTAACACTTGGTTTGTGCATTAAAAAAATTTGGGACCACTTAGTACCTTGTGCGAACACCAGTTCAGTTGAGTGCCAGCTAGAGCAAACAGCATGGCAAACAACAGGGATTCACTGATGTCATGTTGTATTAACACTCACCTTTTAACCCTTTCAGGGTCGGTGCCGTACATGTACGGCTTGAGAGCCAGGGTTGATGCTGTACTTATACACCAAAATTCTAGCGCCTTCAAATTGAGCAGAAGAAAGCTGGTAGGCCTTCATATGAAAGAATGGGTCTGCGTGGTCAATTTGCACAGTATAAAAAAAATCCTGCAGCACACAATGCATAATGAGATAAAAAATAGCTCCGACTGTGTTTTTGGTTTAAAACAGCGACTTTGCAGTGTATTTTCGTATAGCATTTATGGTTGTATTCTCGTTTTCTTGGTCTCATTTGATAGAATGGAAGATATATTACAGAAATAGAAATGATTTTGATTGGTTTCACGATGAAACGTACATTGAAATTGAGCTCAAATTAGTGAAAATGTTTGATTTTTGCCAATGTTCAAGAGTAAACAAATCACGCCACGCATCCAATACACGTCAACTGGTGAGTCTAATATTCTTTCACAAGTGCGCTGATATTATTTATATTATTTTTACAATAATGCAGTAATCAGTATAACAGTAAATCTTCTATTTTCTGTGAGAAGAAAAATTCAAAATGGAAAGCAAGAGTAATATAAGAGGGGACTGGAGACATGACTAATGAACAGAAAGAATATTATTTTATTGCCAGGAATGTCTGTCTTGTTTATTCTGGACCCCATTTTTATATTGGCATCTTTTGAAATTTGTGTGAAATTGGCCACATTGCCAATTTCTGATCTCTTTATTGAGTAGTTGAAATCGGTAAATGGGCAGTTTCTTGTACTCAGTCGACAGAACAAATAGAGTTCTAGCAAAATAGCTATGATTTTAGTTGACTGGAACAATGGATTTGGCCGAAAATAGTCAAATAGGTGAAACCGCCGATGCATAAATATCACAGATATCACTAATTTTGCAAGAGCGTAATTTCATAAGTTTTTCATCAAATTTCGTACTTTTGTTGTCATTACCATCAGGAAAAGATTCTCTATCATTTCATAAAAAATTTTTTTTTTTTTGACCCTGAGAGTGAGTTCAGGATCGGGGGTCTTGACCTTGAAAGTGTTAAGAGGAAAGTGATGTTGACCCTGAGTATAGTGGCTTTGAGATGGATGTGGAAATATCAAAAACCTCGTTTATAACCCATATGCAACATCCTTTCAATTTTGATACCACTGGTAGTGTCATCCTGCCAGAATATCCTATAACCTAAATCCTAAGTAAAGAGAAACAATTCTGAAACGTGTAATACGTGTTCGGCAGGCTGGCTGGCTGGCCAGTGGCTGGATGGGTGGCTGATTGACTTTGGCTGTCTCTCTCACTGTCTGTCTGTCTATCTATCCATCTATCTCTATCTCACAAGTACACATAAATACAGTAAATTACCTAGGGTAACCCAGAAATAATCCAGACGAAGTGCTGTACTGTACCTGTAGATATAAGGCATAATAAGCATGACTGGCAAGTAATATGCATTTTCACTTGTTTAGTAATCAGACGTGACGACTCTGCATTGTGTGTATGTAATACCTATTGGTTCATGAGTGGCTCTGAGACAGAGAGGGAGACAGGCAAACAGAGAGACAGGAAGACAGACACACAGGCAGACAGATAAGCAGAGACAGAGATAAACAGAGACAGAGCTAGACAGACAGATAAACAGACAGATAGATGCAGACATGTTTATGTGTAACAGTGAAAACAAAGCCAATGCATTGCATGCTCATCAAGTGTCACTCCACTGCTGCACTGTCAGCAGTGGAGTGACACTCGTCTTAAACCATGCTTCAAGGAGTTTCAAATATACGCCAGCATGTCTGAAATAGATAGTAGATTGGTAGACAGCAACCACCCAGGGAGGTACTACCATCCTGCCAGGTAAGTGTGAAACGAAAGCCTGTAATTGTTTTACATGATGGTAGGATTGCTGGTGTCTTTTGTCTGTCTCATAATTATGCAAGATTGCAGGTACGTCTTGCTACTTCTACTTACACTTAGGTCACACTACACATACATGTACATGTTTATTTATACACGCTCATCTGAGTTTTCTTTGATTTTATCTTAATAGTTCTTGGTCTTATTACTTTTCCTTTTATATCCATGGGGAAGTGGAATAAGAATCTTTCCTCCGTAAGCCATGTGTGTTGTAAAAGTGAACTAAAATGCCGGGAACAATGGGCTAGTAACCCCTTTTCCTGTAATAATTACCAAAAAGAATAAGAAGAAGAAAATTGTCAAAGTGGGAAGTCTGAATATGCGTGAATGTTGTGCAAATGATAAGAAAGAAGTGATTGTGGATGTTATGAATGAGAAGAAGCTGGATGTCCGGCTTTAAGTGAAACAAAGCTGAAGGGGGTGGGAGAGTTTCAGTGGAGAGAAATAAATGGGATAAGGTCAGGGGTTTCAAATAGAGTTAGGGCTAAAGAAGGAGTAGCAATAATGTTGAAGGATAAGTTATGGCAGGAAAAGAGGGACTATAAATGTATTAATTCTAGGATTATGTGGAGCAAAATAAAGGTTGGATGTGAAAAGTGGGTTATAGCAAGCGTATATGCACCTGGAGAAGAGAGAAGTGTAGAGAGAGAGAGAGATTTTGGGAAATGTTGAGTGAATGCATGGGGAGTTTTGAACCAAGTGTGAGAGTAATGGTGGTTGGGGATTTCAATGCTAAAGTGGGTAAAAATGTTGTTGAGGGAGTAGTAGGTAAATTTGGGGTGCCAGGGGTAAATGAAAATGGGGAGCCTTTAATTGAGCTATGTGTAGAAAGAGGTTTGGTAATACATATTTTATGAAGAGGATAAACAAATATACAAGGTATGATATAGCACGTAATGAAAGTATAGTAGAACCTCTACTTGCGAGTTTAATCCGTTCTATTGTCAGCATAGTTGCTGATCCTCCTTACGTATGTTGTATAGCTTAGCTGAGTATCATAGTACCATCCATGTGTTTATATAGAAGATCCTTATTAGGCCTAGTGACTGTATGACGTCACGGGATGCGCAGGAGTGAGTGGGACCCACTACCTCGCTCCCACTCTACGCTTAGACATACAGCAGGCGGTAACACGGCAGGCTGGGCCCCATCCCTTACCACAGTCTGACAATATATAGCGTTACCATCCACAAGTGTGTATATCTTCAACCATCATATCTCCTTCCGAACCCCCACGACAAATTGGTGGCAGCGGTGGGCCTGTAATTCTGATGATTACAGCGATTTCTGGAGATAAATTTCTACTGAGCCGGTCGCCATCTTGTGATGCTAGGCCTGCCGAGAAGGGTAACGCTTGACCTACCCCAAGCCAGCTACCTCAAGCGTCTACCAGCCTCTACATTACTCATTGGTCAGTCTCTGTGTATAAGTGTTTATCTGCTTATTTGCATCACTCCCGAGGGGTTGATGCGAGTTTGCAAAGTAAGCAAAACCAGCACGACAGTCTGTGGTGGGGGAGTCAGACTAAGTCCAGTCCAGCCTAGCCTTACACCATCCAACCTTGCCTGCCAAGCCAGCTTTCCACCCCTGCTGTGCTCATCGTTAGAAGTTATCAAGCCATTCTGTGTGAAGGGTTAAGCCAAGCCAGCCAGCAACTAACCCAGGTGACTAACCCAGTACTAAAGCAAGCCACGTGGGTACAGTCTTCCTCATCGCTTTGTGCTTCAAGTTCTAGCCATTCTGTGTGCTTTATAATCCCTGTGGTGTTGTGGTATTTCGCGGGTTTGTTTTTAAGCCACCTGGCTTAGAATATTTTCGAGCCTAGTGAGGGTGTCCCCAGTGAGGCTTACGCCGTTCATCCCATAGGCCCAGTCACCATGAGGTGTCTCACCACCGCTGCCTCAGCCGCCTCACCCACCCACCCCAACCACTACCACTGTTTTGTACCCTTATTACGGGTTCTAGCACCATATTTTAAGGACCACATAGGGGGTCAAGAGCCAGTGTGTGTTAATTTTCATGCATTATTTTATGTATGTTGTGTTGTGTTTCTTTTTTATATATACTTGAAGTAAGTACATTAATGTTTTTCCTTGTTGTGTGCAACATATAAGCAGTATAGAATTTGTGTTACACTTCACAATTACCTTGTGTTCACAGTATTGCAGTGAAGTAATTCAGTAATTTATTACCTTGTATTCTGCATCACAACTCATTGTTGTCTGTTATATTTTTCTCCCAGCATTTGTGTATTCTTGTTGTTTTTGTTTTCATTTGCTATTTTATTTTTCTATGTGTGTTGAATTTTCTTGTGTTAATTCTTTTCATTTAAGCAGTGTCTAATTTGTCTTATCTCTACAGACAATAGTGCCATTTTTTATTTTGTTCAAGCAAGACAATTATTTTCCAAATTTTCATACCTCAAGTTTCATAGCAAGAAAATTCTAGTATTGTGTTTATATTGATGTGTTGTGTTCTGCATCACTGTAAGTGTTCAAACCTTTTGTTCTGTGTTTTTGCATCTATTATTTTTTGTTTCATTGAACAAATTCCCTCTTAGTGCAATTTTTAAGTTCTTGTTTTAAAGTAAATCATTCTTTGTTTGTTCAGTCAGTGTTGCTTAAGCTGCAATTAACAGTTAGTGTTCACTCAGTTCATTCCTTGATGATATTTTTTTTTTCTTGTAAACTGTATTTTCTTGTGTGTGTAATTTTTATTACTATTGCACATTGACTCATTTTGCAATAATTCTTGTGTAAACATTATGTTGCCATTAAAATTTTTCTTTCAGAAATTTTATGTACTGTAGTGTTGTGTAGCACTTTTGATTAGTAATTATTATTTGCAATATTGCTACAGTTTATTTCAGTGCAGTTTCATATGCTCTTTTCTGTGCATAATATTTTATTCTTTGTGTGCCATTTTATTTTATTTTTAGTGAATTACTTTCCCAGGTTGTTTTAATTTTGCACAAGATTTGTTGATCCCATTTTATCATTTATTGTTGAATTTCCCTATTGCATTGAGAGTAAAGACAACTCACTGTGCCATTCATTCAATTTACAGTAAATTTGAGTAAAATTAGATTTGAGTAAAGTACAATTCCTCTTGATTTTCAAAGTGTTGCTTATTCAGTTGAGTATTTTCTTTTGTGAGTGTGAGTTTCCTTGCTTACAGTGTGACCTGTCAATTTTTATTTACTTATGCAGAATAGTTAAATAATTTCTTCCCATTTAAGTTTACTGTGTTGTGTGTTCCTCAGTTACATTTTCTTTTATTTCTCTAAGTTCTTGTTTTACATTTTGCAAACATGTCTCAAGTTTTCTCGAGCGATGCCTCAGCACATTCTGCTAGTACAACCATTAATGCATCTGTCCCAAATTCGAGTAATTCCTTATCAAACAATACACACACTCAGATTTCGAGCCTTTTCAATTTTAGTCGTGATCCTTATGATGCTATGCCGTTGTTCAGTGGTAACCCAAATAACCTAGAAGGATGGTTTACTGCTGTTCGTGCTAGAGCAAATGCCTCGGTAGATGGTCCTCCATCAGAGAGTTGCTCAATTAGTATCGGAAAGGGGAGTTTAGCTCGTTCTCCAGCTGCCTCGCATGTGTTCAACTTGATCCGTATGAAGGACTTTCAGGATCTAACCAAGTGGCAAGATTATGAGCAATTAATCCGTAACTATCTTGAACCAGCGCGAGAAACCGATCCTTTTGTCGTTCTTAAGGAATTAGTGTGTGCAGCTCCGAGGCCAGAGGAATCATTAGATGAGTTTGCTCTTCGTCTAAATAACCTAATGTCCTCATTCGTTTAAGCAGATCAAAGCTCCAAGTACCTTAAAGACAATGATAAACCAGCTCTGAGGGGTTTTTGCTAATTAGCACATTCGGAGTTATTAAACAGCTAATGCCACCAACATCAATGTATGTGTATAATTCTAGTCCTCTAAATGCCACAATGGGACCGCTTGCAGCTCTTATCCATGTGCGTAATTTGTGTCCCGAGGGAACCTTCCCTTATCGAAAGTCTACGTCAACCACTTTGTCTACTCCTGTACCTCCTCTTGTTTGTGCTACAACCAAAACCCCCAATCTAAATCACTCGCGACCATCATCCAAAGCTAGTGTTAAGAGTTATCATTCCGTACCCACTCGTACAGTACAGTACCCATAGCCAAAGAACTTGCTGTAATTGTGGTTACCATGGCCACATTGTAGTAAATTGCCCTGATAGTCACTCTAAGAGGCATCGTAATGCTGATAAGTACCAGTCTGAATTGCCTTATTGTACTTATCACAGAATTCATGGCCATGACACATCGAGTGTAATGCTCTCTTTTAAACCCCCAGTACTCTAGATCTTTCCGTGGGCCGTTCCAACCCAAGCCCAGGAGAGGAAATAGAGATCGGGGTTCTCAGAATAACCAGAAACCACCTCATTCTTCCAATTCGGGGGAATCCGAGCGCCCCAGTCTACTCGTCCCTTCGTGACAGTAGGTGATAATGAGTACAACCATCCCAGTTCAAAATTCCTATGAAGCCTTAAGCAGTCTTGAGAATGACAACCTCACCCGTTGATGGGTTTCTTCACACGTCTCTGACGTAGAGGAATTTGGGGGATGAAGTGGAACATCCTTCCCGATGACAACCCACCCTTCTTTTTGCACATAACTCCAAATGAAACGATAGGTCCTTTTGTACAAGCTTTTATTCATAATGCGCCCGTTCATGTGTTCATGGACTCTGGTGTGCAAGTTAATATCATCAGGTCTAGTTTGTTTAAAGAGAAGCAGTTACGACGTGTCCTCCTTGTTGAACCAACTACTGTAACCTCCCTTAGTGGAGTAGCTGGTTCCCTTCTGAGTGTCCGAGGTCAGACTGCACTCGCCTTTTCTATCCAAGGTAGAGACTTTACTGCTTCTTTTCTTGTTGTCGACCAGATTACTTTCCCTGGTGACCTTCTGCTGGGATTTGCTTCTATGAGAGACTTGCGTATTGTGCTTGACCCTTACCGATGGCATGCCCAAATTGACGACTTGATCGTTCCGTTTTGGGGTTACCAGCTTGGATCAGAGATCTGCCATACTGCCGCAGAGTATGATATACGGATTAAGTTCTTACTAGCCAATGCATTTTCCAGTAGCGTACCAAAGCGGTCAGGCACTAGTAACTCTGTCACTCCCATCTGTGTTCCACCTACACCTTCAGATATGCAAAATAGTGTATTTCCTCAAGTGTCCGAGGACGCTCAGACTGCTTTGATTGCTCAGCCTATCCCTGCAATGTCTGCTAGTCCAAGTAGTAGTTTCTCCATAGGGGACACCTTGTCGGAAAACGATTACTTGAAACTAGTAATGCCATCTCTTGTTGCTGTCACATGCTGACTGCAGAAAGACGTCTCTGTTGTGGCTAGTGCTCTCACTAGAGTGTCTGTTGTTGTTCCTAGTGTTCCAGATGGTGATAACGTCCTAGTTGACAGTGATTCCTGCAAGGTCAAGGGTTTATTTGTTGAACCTTTCCCTTTCATGTTGTAAGAGACGGAAGATCCATTTATTCCTTGCTAACACTTCGGGTCACAGTGTTCGTCTCAGAGCAAATACCAATCTCGTTGACCTGGTTCACTAATCTTTTCCCTGTTCAAGTACAGGATGAAAGTGCCACCTAACCAGTGGGTCGTGCTATTTCAACCCGGGGGGACCTCATCCACTCCACTGGATCAATCCATTCCACCAGTTGAGGAGAAAGACTTAGCTCCCACTGACTTCCCAGACGAAGTCAAGCTTTTTTTGACTTTGTGAAACAAACGCGTAAAGCCATTGCCCTTACCAGTGAGAAATGGGTAAAAACGAACTTAATTGTCTCATCGTTTTCCACTTGAACCTGGTACTAGACCTATCTATATACCTGTGTACAGAATGCCTCATTCCCAAGTTGCTGTCGCAGAAGAATTGATCACTCAAATGCTCGATGATGGAGTTATTGCACCTAGCAATTCACCCTGGAATGCGCCCTTGATCCTAGTGCCTAAGAAGGACGGTACTTGGCACCCGGTGATTGACTTTAGGAAGTTAAATGCAAAAACTATTCCAGATCGCTTCCCACTTCCTGTACTGGGTGATCTTTTACGCAACATTGGAGATAACAAAGTCTTCTCGACCCTGGACTTGTTACAAGGGTTTTGGCAAGTCCCTCTTCACGAGGACAGCCAAGAGTTAACCACATTCTCCACTCCCACAGATCATTATCACTTCCTTCGAATGGCTTTTGGATTACGATCCTCTCCTATCACATTCTCTAGACTCATGACCAATATCTTTAGAGGTCTTATAGGTAAAACACTTATGGTGTACTTAGATGACATAATTGTCATGTCCGAAGACGTGGATACACATCTGAAAAGACTTGATATAGTACTTGGTAAGCTTGAAGAAGCCAATTTAAAGATCAAACTGTCTAAATGTCAATTTTTCAGATCAGAAATTAAGTTTCTTGGTCACGTAGTCACTCCTAGAGGGGTTACGACTGATCATAGTAAAGTAACGGCAGTACTAAATTTTCCATCCCCCAAAACTGCTGATGCTGCAAGATTCTTTGTGGGTCTAGCAGGTTTCTATAGATCTTTCATTGCTAATTTTTCTTCAATTGCAGCTCCTCTAACTGAATTGCTTAAGAAAGATGCTCCTTTCGTTTGGACCTTCTGTCAAGAAAGAGCATTCCTGACACTAAAAGAAAAGCTAATGTCCGCTCCCATTTTGAAATTCCCAGATTTTTCTAAGCCCTTCAATCTGACAACTGATGCTAGTTCAATTGGCATATGTGCCGTACTAGCTCAGAAGACTGATGGCAAGTACAACGCAGTTGCATTTGCTAGTAGAGTTCTTACGAAGGCTGAACGTAATTATACAGTAACGGAGCAAGAAGCTTTAGCAATAGTATGGTCTTTAAAGCACTTCCGAGACATTATTTACCAGTACCCTTTTCATGTCTTGACAGACCATGCACCTCTGATACCTTTATTCCAGAACAAACAACCTACTGGAAGGTTAGCCAGATGGACCTTGACTATCCAAGAGTTCAATCCCGCTTTTGAACATTTACCTGGCAAGTCAAATGTAGTCGCAGATGCTTTATCGTGACACGTTAGTGTAGTTACTGCAGATCCTCCATTTACTGCCAAGGATGTAAAGAATGCCCAAAGAACAGATCCCATGTGGTCTGGTGTGATTCGATTCCTGCTCCAGGAAGATCTTATTCTGGCTGTGAAGCCACCAGCACCCATTAGTGACTTTGTAATGAGTCAAGAATTACTGTATCGAACAGCCGAGTTGGGTACTCCAAGCAGAAAAGTATACCAGTTAGTAATTCCACAGTCACTAGTGAATGTAGCTCTACAGCTAGTTCACGATGCACCAGGTGTTGCACACCCTGGTATGGATTGTTCGGTGAAACAAGCCAGAATGAAGTACTTTTGGCCACGTATGGCAACTGACATTTCAGAGTATGTTAAGAAATGTAGTGTTTGCATGCAGCATAAAGGAAATGTCAATGGTCCTAATCCAATCCGGGTGTATCCAACCACTAGCGAACCGTGGGAAAGAGTTGCCCTTGATTTGTTAACCAATTTTAAATGTTCCCTCCAAGGCAACAAACATCTGTGTGTTATGGTAGACCATTTCACCAGATATTGTGAGTTAGTTCCTATTGCAGATAAGACTGCTGAGACAGTAGCTAAAGCGTTTAAAGAACGCATTATCTTCAGGCATACCACCCCTAAGTCCTTAGTAACAGATAATGGAGGTGAATTCTGTAATGAGATTCTTGAAAATTTGTGTACCTTGTACAAGATCTCTAAATCCACCATTGTTCCTCATCATCCTGCCAGCAATGGGTTAGCTGAAGAACCAATAAGAAAGTACTTGATGTCTTGAGAGCCACTATCAACCCCAATAGTGAAACTTGGGATGAAGTTATACCAGATGTTCAATGTGCCATAAATTCTGCTTACAATGCTTCCATAGGTGATACTCCACATTATGCATTGTATGGTGTAGACAAGCATTTACCCTATGAGTTGTTATATTCCACTCCAAAACCCAATTACAACCCTGATGATTTCATAGCAACTCGTACCAGCATAGCTCAGTGTTTTTAGAAGAATCCGTGAAACACTTCATAAATCAACAGCAGAATTTACTAGAGTAACTAATAGTCGTGCTAAGCCGTCAAAAGTTAAAGTAGGTTTGAGAGTAATGCTGACAAATTTCAACAAAACATCCGCAATGCCTAAGCTCGATCAAAAGTTTGTTGGCCCTTAACGAGTTGTTGAACATATCACTGGCAATAAGTATAAGGTTAGAGAAATTAGTACTGGTAAGTACAAAGAATCGCATTTAGATCATATGAAGTTAGTATGCGATGCTGACGATATTGCTACCCAGACTAATGTGACAGATGCTGACAATCCTCTTGACTCTGTACCCTCTACCTCAAATACTCAGTCAGATAATCAACCTGAATGTCGTTACTCTTTGCGTACTCGACAAGTAATGAGAAACCCACAAGTATCTTTTGTAGATACTCATTCAGATCTCCCTCAGTCAAGGCATGTGTTAGCCATTGCAGAGGAATTCGATCCTCCCAGAGATGATAACCATTCTGCATATGTAAACCTCGCCCTCGCAGAATTGGGTTTAAATGTACATAGTCTGTATAATTAGATGTCCGAGATGAATGAAATTGTCAACTGTGTGTTTTGTTATTAACTGATCAGTTTTTCAGAATTTTTTTTCCCGTGTTCACATTCCCTCCGTATTCTGAGAATTTGACAGTAATGTTCTGTGTGCACCAGATTGCCTT